GCAATACCAAAAGACTACGAGAGCAGAATTTATTCCGTACTTTTTTACCACCACAGGCAAAATCAGCTATAAGAAAAGCGATTATTTGAAGGCAAAATTTTTAAAATAAAATTATTAATTTAACCAAAATATAATTATATAGGAACAAGATAAGCCAGTGTTCTGGAATAACAACCGGATATCTAAACATTTGAGTTTCTGATACCCGATTTACTTCGGTTAACCACGTCACGCCTTCCTGCTAGTCGCCTAAAGGGATCATTTAAGCAGACCACAGCCTCTGGTGTTTCAACACCTGCAGTGCGTCGGATGCAGACCATACTGTGAGTTGGGTGAACGATGGCGCGTTCGGGAACATAAAAAATCTGCCGCTATTCGTAGGAAAAATATACAGACAAAGGTAACTGCACTGCTCCATGGCAGCTGCCACACCATAGCCATCTAATTTCAATGGAAATCATAACATTCAAAATTTTATTACCGCATTCAAGAAATGGCTTGGAAACAAACAGACCTCTACTCACGTGCGATATGTCGAAGCACGAAAGGTCGCAGCGAAAGCAGTGGCAAAAGCCAAGGCTGATTTCTGGGAAAAGTTCGGTGAGGTGTTGGAGTTCAATTTTGACACGGCAAACAACGTATTCTGGCAGACTATTCGCCGGCTCCGAGGTGAAAAGAAGGGCAGTCTAAGAGTCTTGAAGGAGAGGTCTTAGCACCCTCTTACCAATGATAACGACACTGTTTGGCGATGGAGGGAGTACTTTGAGAAACTCCTTAATCCCGAGCAACACTCCCCTGTAGAACTGCAGGAAACGGATATTACAATCTCTGTAAATGAAATCACACAAGTTGCGAAAAGCTTGAAAAATGGAAAGGCTGCTGGAATTGATGAAATTCGTCCTGAGATGCTCAAAGCATTAGGCGAACAAGGCATCTACTGGCTTACACGTGCCGTCAAACTATATTGGCTACGGGGAAGATACTGTTGAACTAGAGAACGTGAGTTGTACCACTATTAGATAGACAGACCACAAGGAGTGCTCCAATTATCGGCGCATTACGTTATTGAGCCTCCCTGGTGAAGTCTACGCAAAGATGAAGTCTACCTATAAAGGAGGTGCAGTGAAATAGTTGACCTCAATATCCAAGAAGAGCAGTGTGGCTTCCGGCCAGATCGAAGCACCCCTGACCATATATTTGCCCTGCGCCAGCTGTTGAGAAATCGTGGGAGTAGGCCCATTCGGTGTACATGTGTTTTGTTTACCTAGAAAAAAAGCCTATGACCTGATCCCGTGCAACGGTCTGTGGTCATGCCTGCGAGCATACGGGATAGATGTCCGGCTGAATCCCATTACTGTATCTTGAGGGCAGGGCCAGAATCAATGGCGTTAACTTCAAGCCTTACAACGTTGCACTAGTCTCCCTGAAGGCAGCGTCCTGCCCCACCGCCTGTTTGTGTTGTACATAGATAGAATAGTCCGGAGCTGCCAACTCGATGAATGCATCGGTGCAGGAGATGTGGAGATGAGAAGGTTGCCGTTTGCAGACGACCGTTTTATTGGCATCTTCTTAAACAGATCTGTGGTGCTTCCTGGCAAGGTTAACAGCTGAGTGCGACGTGACCGGCAGGCATGTGAACGCATCTAAAAAGAAAAGCCTGGTGCTTTCTCGTTCTCCTTGTCGTTGCTCTCTTCAGATTAAAGGGGAGGCAGTGGAGCAAGTAAAGGAGAAGTTCAAGTACCATCGGAATCGTATTTACTAGTGATGGAAAATTTGAAGAAGAGGTCGACCTGCGAATTGGAGCAACCAGTGGCTTTCTGCACAGACTAGCCGGAACTATTGTGACTAAAGCAGAAGTGGTGTGAAAACTAAGCTGTGAGTATTGTAGTCGATCTTTATCCCCATGAGTAAGAAGCTTCGAACCTTGGTACAAGCTGCTGAAATGGGCTTTCTGGGACGAGTCGCTGGCCTTACGCGTCTCGACATGGTCCGGAATACTGACATCCGGAAGAGCTTTGGTATAAAACCTTTGCTTCTCCAGACTGAGAAGTCACAGCTGCGATGGTTTGGGCATTTGTTGCGAATGCCTTCAGAAAAGAAGGTGAAGGAAATATTGGTTGTGTAGCCGACTGGCAGAAGGCCCAGAGGACGGCCAAGAATAACCTGGCGCAAATATATGGAAGGATTCTGTTCCAGACTGCAGTTGCCTTCTGTTGAAGCTGAAATTCTGATAAAGGATCAGGAACGTTGGAAGTACTGCCTGACGCGTCTGCTTGCGCGACCCGAAAGGAGAAGCGGTCATGGAAGATGAAGAAGGGTTAGAGATATGTACTACGAAACCAAACTTTAATGTATTAACTGTAGTTTAAACAAAATCTGCATCAAAACAGTCACTCTATAAGGCTTGTTGCTGCTGATGGTCGTAACCACTGATGCCTAACTGAGAAACAAGCAGTAACCACAGTGAAAGAGTAGAAGACGAATAGTAAGAAGCCGAAGTACATAACAGGCATACCCGTGATACTGTCTTCCGCCAAACAAGAACATACTCAAGCACATCCCCTTTACAGTTTACTGCGTATTCCTGCATCAACAGTTAAAGGGTGTTAGTTTTAACTTATACAAATTATTAAACTGGTTCATGTTGTAATATGCTGGATGTGATTTATACTTGTAACGAGTCGATTAAACTCTGACATATTTTGATCAGCAGCCGCTTCTGTCTTTATCAGTCCAGTGCTTTGCATCTGAGCGTAAGTGCGGTGCATGTAGAATTCGTCTCTAGCAGTAAGTTCTATTTTGCTCTGTCGTTTTACACATGCATGATGGCCGGCAAAACATTACCTGGTGATATTATCACGCAACCGTCGCAAGTCGTGTACTTCAATGCGCCATTTGACGACAAAAAGAACATACCGATGCAAATAACGAACAACGGCACACGGCGGATTGTATGGGCCCTTAAATGCACCAATCTGAAGCGATTATCCGTCGATCCTCCCGCGGGAATATTGGACCCGAACGAAACTGTAAGTGGGGATGAAAGCTCTTAATGTGTTTCATGTACTTTCATGCATCAAAGTTTCGACGCAGTTTTCAAGCTGTGCATTTCAGGTGTCCCTTTGGATCGGTTGTGAACCGTTCAATTACCAGTTGGAAAATACAGAGGGTGACAGAATAACGGTAGAATGGACTGACGCTCCGCCAGATGCACCAAAGAGATTCAACAGGGAATTTTTCCAAGGCGACGTCATTATAAGAAGAAAAAACATACAAATAGCGTACAACGCGTGATTAGCCTGTGACGAATAAGAAGAAACACTGTCAACTTGTACGCATTAATTTGATAATTCCACCAGCTATGTTACTGTTTTTAACTTATAAATAAACATTAAATCCAAAACCTCATTTCCTGAACTTATTAAATCTTTTTTAATTTTTTACATGACCTGCCTTCGTTTGTTGACAGGCTGAAGTCGACGTTTCTCCAGCATTGTCGATTCTCTTGCAATTCCGGCCAATTAATTAGATCGTCCGGTACTAGTGTTCCGGAAAAACGAGGGACATCTACAATCCAGCCGAGTCCAGTGTTAAATTAACGACCGGTAGCGGTCGTCCCTTGACCCACCTTTTTGACCCAACAGATGGTAAAGCACATGTCAAATTTAATTAAAGAATATATGCACAGCTGAAGTGACATGGCTAGTATTAATTATTCAATATTGTTGGCTCAGGTAATCAATTATTTACGTGATATCGAGAATTACTGTAACAAAACGACAGCTGCATAAATTCCTGACGCACTCTCTACCTCTAAGCCATCTTTTCTTAACCTTTACCACGAGATTGCGTCTGAAAAGTTTCACCAGTCGCATTTTGCCACATTTTTAAACCACCGCAACTGTGATCTCTCAAACTGGAAAACAAGCAGCTCACAATCGAGGCTATCTTGAATTACATCAGAGATAAGAGATAATCTGTAGTAACTGCCAAAACAAACCACAATGGAATCTACTACCTGAACGACAGATGACCACTGACAGAAACTATGGTACATTCAAAAAATGTTCCATGGTTGAAATTAGGAAATGAACAGAAAAATGACGTCGTTAATACGACCTGTCAGAAAACCGAAAAGGTCGACATATTATTGTCGAGACTTGTATATTGAAACGGAAGAACAGAACAACATCTGTCAATGGTAAAACGGTCAAATCTCATGGATCGTCAGAAACTGATGCTATGAAAATAACTGTACCGGTTCAAGCTCTGGTGAGGGGACAGTGATTGCTCAATTTTCTGATATAGCCGAATGAACATAACAGTGTGAGAAGGAAAAAGCGGCTAAATGGTATATTGGTCAGGTATCTGCAGACACAACCTTATAAAACAACAAAAGGCACTCATGACCGATGATAGACAAAATGGAGATTAACGACGATTCATAAGTGTCATGAATAATGGATGCCAAAAATAGGTTGTTCAATCATGAAACGGCAGGGAAGTGTGACCTCCCAATGGTTGCAGACTTTCGTTCCTTTTTTTTCACACGATGGACGCGGAAAACAACACAATACTGGCTACACAAAAACTTACACACATAAAATAATGCATGCTCCACATAAACATACATTTTCGTGCCGAAAGCAGCTGAGAATTTTGATTTCTCGTAGTGTACGCTGGCAAAACGTTTGGTGCTCAAAAGGCGATATCTTTTTGATCGCTACGCGAGTTTTAGTCGTCTTATCATATGCCGATCTAAAACAACATATACATGTATATAAAGTATATTTTAAAATATTCTGAACATGACAAAATATATTAGAATATGACTTAAACGTTTCGTATAAACAATCTTAAAAATGTTGCTTGTCTCTTATTTCGTTTGGTATTTTGCCACCAGCAACATAATGATTGGCCAACCTTTGAGTAAAAGACAAAAAGCAATTATAGGGCAGGTACTGAACAAAAATTACCGCTTGAAAACTAGACTCGATGGCCGATTTCCATACAGGACCAGAGTTCTCTCAATCGTCCCTTCCACCGCGTCACATACCAAAAATTTCGTCAAAAAAGAAAGATAGCTCCGGTGGTTAAGAACGGCTTCAAACATCTGCTCTTTAGAAAAGAAAACTATGGTTCTCTCCCAGAGTCTGAAAACAATTCTGCGGCCATCGGCTGCATACACATTTTCAAGGCAGATATACCCTGTCCGATTGACACAGATGTCACGCAATAATACAGGAAAACTTTATAAAGCTCCTCTCACAAAGTTATATGAGTCTCTCATGTACTACGAAACGATTTCCCTTTTCTCCTTCATTCGTCTTCACTATGTTTAGTGACTTCATTAGATGATGTTGCAAAGCATTATTATGCAGCAACTTCCATTTAAAACGGGTCAGAAGAAATGTCATACTTGTTAAACTCAGTACAACAAAAAAATGTTGATTTCAGCTCAACCACCACTGCTGTAATAAATTAATCAATTGTACTGCCCCTTTCTTTTCATACAGAACCAAACACAGAAACAGTTCTCAACATAAACTATGTCGGCGTCATCATAGACAAAAATTCACACTACAACACACGACAATGCAGCTTCTTCCGGAAGCATCCAACTATATTACAATCCCCCCAAAGTAATTAGGGAACTGATTCTAAGAACCTGCATATTTCGTCCAACTACAAATGCCTCACGAGGATATTTCTGCCACATACGCAAAGCGGATCTGTGCAAATTTCGGTCGTTATTAAAACTGCCCGCAGAAGAGGTCAGGTGTCCTATACGAATGTCGCAAACATCGCCATATATCAGGCTGTAAGATCTATTGTAAATCTTAATAAATCGGTGTTATTCGTTCCTTTCCATTCCATGCACAAAGTTCTATAT